TGGCTGCCGTGTTTACAGCAAGAGAAGAAGGTTCATTGCCACTCTTTACCTGAAGTTAAATCATCTTTAATGAATCATGTTTTGATTTTACTTTCTGTATAGTAGGTGTGCTGTCTTTCTTTACTCTTTCTTGGAAGTATTTTCTGCAGCAGTTAGCCACATGACATGTCTTGAAAATATCTGTTGGTGATAGACAAAGATGTTGTTAAACAAGTGTTAGCTGAGTGTTAAAATCACAACTGGAGAGTGCCGTGATATCATGCTTTCACAGTATGCTGGGAAACAGCAGCTGACAAACAGGAAGTGATTGTGAATACCACCTCATGCTAGCAACGCACACACAATTGCTTTTATTCGCGTTCAGTGTCAGCACAAGTGTTAACCTTGGTTGGATAAATCGAGTTAACGGCACATTATTATTGTTCTGCTGATGTGATATCACTACAGTTATATGCAGTCCAGTAAAAGTATGGTTAACTCAGCGACATGATCTTAGTAAGTTAAACAGGATAATAAAGAGAAGATATACTATAACCAAATGTGCAAATGAGGACCTTCAAGTCCAACCTTCAAACTAGCCCTTTTGAGGTAGTGAGTATATTTACCTGATTGTTAGCAAAAGCTCCTTATCGTGTCTTTTTGTTTGGCCGACAGTTGTGCAAATACTCTTTCAGCACACAACAGCTGAACAGTTATTAATTAAGTGTGTTTGCATGGGTTCAGGCAAACAATGAACCATCATCCTCAACCAGAGATCCATAATGTGTTAGCTGCCCTACCTAGCTGCTGTTACTGCAGCAGCCAGCTTACCAAGTTATAAACAGAGCAATTGATTTACAGTATTACTACAGAATTGGCCATTCAACCACAGATTCTTTATGTTACAGTCAAAAACTTGTCTCTGTCAACAACAGTTGTCTTCTTTTCTTCCCCCCTCTAACAATCCTTGTCATTGCCAATTGTATTTTGCCATGTGTCTACTCCCACACATGGAGTCTGAGCTACTTCTTTCTCACTTTCTGTCAAGGAACTTCTCCTGGAGGGTTTAAATCCCGTACTGTGCCCCTCAGATCTTATCCTACTCTGTACATGCAACCTGTCTAACCAGTTTGAGTGGCTAGGGCAGTCCCAGGATATGATCCATCATTGGCTTTCCCTGTGAACGCCACCAGTTGAGTGCCTGGCTAAGAAATATACTCTAGTTGGCATGTGTTTTTCCTCTAGTTTATTTCTCAAGAACATTTCAAGCACCCTGTTGTCATACACACGCTGCTACAACCCCTGCGCTGCACCAGAGGTGACTTGGTTTCTTGCTACCAGTCAGCTCAGCCTGCTGTTTTCTGGTGGCTCTGATGTTAATTGTCCCAGCTAGCAGCTCTGCCACCGCTGGCTAGCCTAATTGGCCACTACTGAACCATGCTTGCTGGTGGAAAAACATCAGCAGCAGCCTGAGTTTCTGCCTATCTTTGTTTCTTTTCCTCAGTGGTTGACTTTAACAATGGTCTTTTGGTTTAACAGCGTATTACAGAGTTGGAAGTAATCCATGATTCATGTATACCGAAGAGTTGTATAGCTGCCTACAATGGGGTCATCATCATCCATCTCCTGACATCAGAACTGGTCAGTAAATGGCTCTTACAGCTGAATTCAGTGTTACCAAGAATTGTGGGATTCCGGATAGTATACACTGTATATGTCCCCCTTTCGATAACTGGGAAATCATCAAAGTGTTCTTTTAAGATTCTGTGCAGATAATCAGATTTGCTGTCTCCCCTGCTGCAGATACCTCTAACTTGGAGGAATGACGGCTTATCAAAGTCTGTCTAATTAAAGAGCTACTTTCAGTCTGTGTGACTTCTGTTTACAAACTCTGGTTTTCTTATAGTTGGGGCATATGAACCCACAGTAAAGTCTTATCATAATATAAACTAAAAAAGCAAGAAAATATGTGATGAGCCAGGTTACAGTCAATTTATATATGTACGTGAATTGTTAATCCGAGAGTATAGACAATGTACTTCAGAGTTAGGAAAATAACTTTTGTTCAAGACAACAGTTGAGACAGTTTACCTCATCTTCTGGTGACTTGGGACTGATGCATTAGTAAATATGTTTAGGGATCACGCCACTATTAGTTTCTTCCTGCTTCTTCTCCATCCAGTATCCATATTGGAATTTGAATAATTGTACCACGTCTGGTCCTTTGATGTTCTGTATTCTCCGTATGTGTCCCCCTGAGCAATTGCTGTTATGCATCATGGAATGTCCTGACATGTAATGTCATCATTGGTATTCAGATCCGTGCACAAAAGGGCATAAGTATTGATTTAATGTGTGGAAACATGGGCCTTTGTTTGATTTATTTTACCTTGGACTGCTGAAAATTATGCATAAAGTATCTTATTCTCAATATATAAACCGGTGGTGGAACACTTTCACTACATGTTTGATGTCCTTGATAACTAATATTACTTATTGTCAGTTATTATTCACTTTCAAAGCAAGTATGTTTGTTTGATGTACACATCAAACATCTGTTGTTTTTTGTATGATTTTAGACAAAGTAGGGATATTTGCTGCAGTGAACCGTCTTTCTACTCTTTGATTGAGATAGATATATACAACCTGTTGAAAATTACAGTGTACTTTGTACTCCTCAAGGTTAAGACTAAACTTAGTCCTATAGATAGATTAAATTAGGTCTAACTGCAGTGGCAAAGACATTCTGCTTGGCTTTGACCTTTTGTGTTTTTCTTTGTCCGATTGGATTTGAGACTTGTGTTGTCTGCACACTATGAGGTAAACTATTTACCCACATTTGTAGCAATAACTGGGAATGTGTCATTTATAGTAAGCATCTTTTTTGTTGCCTCCAACTACCAGACAATGCAAGTAATTCCCTCCAAGTTTTCCAAAAACAGTCCTTAATGTATGTGATGGAGAATCGATTTTGCATAGATAAACGTACTACGTTTAATAAAACCCACTGACTGTAGTTGTTGCTGGCACCAGTCTGAAGACTAGCAGTGATAACCTAGATTTTATACAAATATGGTTTTGGCTGGAAAGTTGCCAGGCTGAATTCCCAGATCCGCTGGGAAATCTCGAGCTCAAAGAGTAGAAAGAATGAGAATGATCTTCCCTGCCCCACCACCTTCAATCAGACATAAGTAAACAAGGAAATATGCAACTACAAAACTACTCTAGTGAAGCCGCACAGTAGCCAGCAGTGGATCATTGTTGTTTCCCTTGAAGTGATTGTGAAGCTAATAATCAGCTATGTCTGGATGCATTCGGAAGAATGAAACACTCAAAGAAAGTCCCCAAAAATTGGGCATATAAATAAACTGTATCTTAGAAGCACAAATATTGAAAAGACACATTGTATCTCTGCAGCAATTAGGTGCCAATTGCCTTGCTGCCTTTGCAAACCTTATTTTATACATTCAAAGAAAGATGAATTTGACTTTCTTTTCCTTCATGTTTTCAAAGATTATATTAGGATGAATTGCCACTGCATTTTGTTCTCTGCTTTTTGAGGTTTAGAAACGGATATCACTGGAGGCCATTCTAAGGGGTTCCATTTAGATTTTTCAATTACATATAAACCTTTAAAAGTCGGCACCAGTGCAGTGCCCTTTATGAAACAATACTATAAATGGGAAAATATGAGCTTAATGAGCGCTGTACTTGGACAAAGAAGGAGAATTAGGCCATCAACCTTCACTGTGTACTGATGGGAAAACTCTACAACTTTAGTGTGCCATTATCCTCTTTGATTGCTATGGTGACAGAGCCAAATTACAACCTGTACAGAAAGAGAGGACAATAAATAGTTCCTGTCTGCAGTAGACTTGTTAGTGAGCTGCAGCTTTGCCCGGCAGTCGTGTGTCATGATACTAAGTTAGTACACAGCACTAGAAAACCAAGGAAAGATGGCTATGTTAAGTTATGTAGTTATGTAGTCGCACCTGAAATTAAAGTAATTTTAATATACGTTTAAAATGTTTTTCAGCCTCCAAATATCACACACACTGTACACAGTTTGCTTTATCCATTGCCTATAGAGCTGAAACAAATAAATCAATTAGTTGACTAAAAGAAATTGTGATGAGCATCTTTTAGACATTTTTTAGACTAAACAATAATCAGTGAATACAAAAATATGATTGATTGATTACATAGTGTAGCCATAGTTGCATAGAATTATATATGTTTGTGCTACAAGCAACACAAGCTCTTGCTCATTGTATGAAATATATATTTTGGTACATATTATACCATAAAGCCATGGATTCTTTAGTATCTCCCTTTGTTGTCCTGAGGCAGTATTCATGTGGAACCTACCTCCCACAGTGAGAGTGAGGTGATGACTAACATGTTCAGGGATGAGGCTGCTGCGATATATGTACAGTACATTACACAGCACTCCACATGCATGGACACGAGTGTATCTGCACATACAGACACACACACAGACACACACACACACACAAAGTACAGGTTAACATAAGCAAAACATTGTTTCCTTCTTGCTCCTCGCAAAAGACCTGGATGTAAAGTAAATTCACCTGTTGTGGACAAAGAGCATGGTGTGATAAGATAGTGAATGAGTAATCTTCTCTGCACTGCAACATTACTTATTGTACTTTTGGGCTGACTTATAAAAGCACATAATTTCAATTAAGCAAGTAGCAGTGCTGAGATTTACTGCTTGTGTTGTATGAGAGTAATAAATAATCATTTTATCTCTGCTCTGTGATGCTAATCTGGAGTTTAAGCAATGAGTGAGTAGCTTTGTTCTGAATTCAGCGTGCTGGCCAATTCATTCTGGACCCCAGCTGATGTTTACCCAGGCTGAGCCAGCAGCTGCTCACACTGTCTGCGTCGACTCAGTCATCTGACAAGGCAAGCGCACTGCCTCTGACATGCATCTGTCACAGCAGGGGGAAAAAATCTAACCCTCTCTGTTTCGTCTTTGTCTTTCTCCACTTGTCCAGCATCTGCCTGGCTTCCCAGCATCTCCACGATGACTGAGAGTCGAAGGGAAGCACTGGCAGCGGCGGCGCCCGTGCCCACCACCGCCTCCTCTGCCACGGCTGGCTCCAACACCACCAACATTGCCGGCCCGGGCACCGGTGAGAAGGACGAGGCCTTTTCCAAGCTGAAGGACAAATTCATGAACGAGCTGAACAAAATACCATGTAAGTGTGTGTTCTTTATCAGGTATAAGAGTGGGACAATTAGTCAGTTGATTGATTAGTCAACCATCAGAGGTTAAATGACAGCTATTTTAATCATCCACTAAACACCAATCTTTCTGTTATAAAAAACAGATACGGAAAAATCATGTCACACCTCTGATTCACTAACAATAATACAGTACATACAACAGACATTGTTTCGTTTCCATTTGGATCTCCGTCAGGTCAAAAGTGTTTTGAAATGGTTATCATACGCATAGACTGTACCAATAGCCTGATAGCCTCTATGATTACAGGTGTGGTTATCTATCCAGCAAGCCAAGTGAGATAAACATCTAACAATTCAAGCAGCATATAAGGAAAATTCAAGCAGAAGTGCATTCTTCTCAAACAGAAGGAGTACACAGGCAGTGTTACACTGAATACCTAAAAAATATCTGAAATATATAAAAATATATAAACGCTATTGTGCAGGTGTCACACCTTTGATCGATGCTGTTTTTCAGCAGCTTTACAACCACATGAGATGTGTCTATAATTACATTCCCTCTGATCTGAAATGAACCCATCAGAGACCAAACCATTCAACGCATTCAGTGTGATTCTAGTGTAACCGTGACTCAAAAATGATTCAAGTGAGTGAACTTTTGTTGGTGATGCACAAGAAAACGTCAGCGTTACCCATTACCTCTGACAAAGACTTCCAATGAATAAAATTTTGTTGCTTGAGTCAACAGCAAATTTAAGTATTTTATGCATTGAATGTCAGATGGAATTGTCTTACTAAATTATGTTATGACAAGTAATCGCATTTGAAGTGGGGAATAAACATCTGGTAACAATGATCCGAAGTGTCTGACATGATGAATTGCTAAATTATGTGTGACTGCCTTTATTATTTGCTGTTATATTTTCAGTTTTTCAATCTTTCTTGTGCTTTCAGTCAAAAATATCTCGTAATTTGCACATAATACACAATAACACCTCCCGCCCTTTAATACCCAAACCTTCCAACCAGATACTTCCACATCCACATGTTTTTGCCTGGAGAATTCTACTGCATTAAGTATATGACAATATATGGCGTCATTGTGTCATCTAAGATAAAGCACTGCCTGGAGAGCCAAGGGTTTTTTCATTCAGCAGAAATCGAAATATAGATATATCCACAGGCTCATGTGGAAGTAATTCTCGCAACAGGAAATGGGTCCTGTGGAAGAGAAGCCCTATTTCTTCAGCAACAATACAAATGACACCACCAGTCATATTCTTCTTTCCAGCGAGGTAATAGTGCACGGAGCCCGTAAGAAAAACCCCTCCTTCCACAGAGGAAGGGTTATTTGTTCCAGGTTGCATATTTACCAGTATAAAAGACCTAATTTACATTCAGATAACTTATGGTTTCTACTAGTGAGCTTTAGCTTCCATGTGGGCTTGAACAAGACAGTTTCATAGAAAGGAAAATAGGAAAGCATTTTGAAAGCGTGCTTTGCTGCAGAGGCTGAATGAATAGGATCAACAATGTTCAGCATTGTCATTCCAATATGGGGCTGTTGAGGTTGATGTCCCCTTTGGCTCAGCATTGAATGTCTGTCACTGAAATGTATTGCAATTCCCACCACCGCGTCTAACAACATCGTTTTCACTTCATCTTTAGACGATTCATTATTAGCTCTGAATTTTGACATTGTAATCTAAAGAAGAACTAAATTAGGGCTTCTATTGTTTACCATAGGCAGACAAAAATATCTGCTAACTTCCCAAAAAGCCTGTCAGTTATACAGGGTTTTAAATTACTGTTTTCTCACTCCATCCCCTCAATCAAAAGCAGTGAGTTTGCTTCCTGGTGCTGCCAAGCTGATGATGAATGCCCCAAGACTTGTTTACTCCATGGAATATCGATACTGTCTGGACAAAGTCAGGTAGCAGATTTAATAAGGAATATGCGCAAGGAGAAGCTGACTGCGCAGACTCTTTAACACCGCTGCAGAAGGTTGTCTTTTGGGCTTATAACCCAGTTTAAGCCCTGCAGGCTTTGAGGCTGGTCGCATGGAGTTGTCAAATTGGCCTAACTTGTTACTGCATTTCTGTCCATCAGGATCTGCAGGACACATCTCTGAGCAGGGCATATTGGCTCAGCCCCATCTGCTGGCTGATGGCTTAAGCATGGAAATACCTGCAGACTTTATTTTAATCTTTCTGAATTTACTGTGCTTGCTTTTGTATTTTAGATATTCTAAACATGTTTAAAGGAAAAATAGTCCCAAAAATATGTTTACATTCATATTTTATCCAATCTGACCTCTGCTTACTCTGGTTTGATGAGGTTTTTTCATAAAGACATATTTGATGCGCTGTAGGGTTGCAACTAACAATTATTAATTATTCCATTGAGTATTTCTCAATTATTATGTTAATTGTTAATCTGTAAAATGTCAGAAACTAGTGAAAAATGTCCATAAGATCTCAGAGCTCGAGGTGACGTTTTCAAATTGCTTGTTTTGTCTAACCAACCGTACAGATCAGAAAGATGTTCAAAAACCAAGAACATCCTCACATTGGAAAAGCTGAAGCCTTTTTTGCTAGATAAACACACTAACTAAAATGATAAATGAACAACTTGAAAAAATAGAGTAAAGTAGAGAAATGCATCCACTACAGCAATGGAAAATGGAGGCAATAAATGATCACTAAATAGATCAACATGATTATGTTGCACAAAATTTGTGCACAGTGATTCCTTCTGCAACAAAAATGAAGCCTTCTAATCAATTTGCGAATGATTTAGCCTTCCACAGACACATTAGCACACACACTCTGAGACACACACATAAACGCACTCTGATGTTCAAATATGTAATCGTACTAAACCATATTGTGACTCCTCACTGAGGAGAGAGCTTGCCTTCAAGGAAACAGTGTATTGAATTTCTTAGTTTTTCTTAGAAGTTTTCTAAACACCCAAGGCTTAACAGGCCGATAACAATTAACCTCTGAACATGTAGGCTGTTTGATCCATGACTGCTGGTTCCAACAGCCATTACTCCAAATATCACAGAAAAGCAATTGGCATTTCAGGAACTTTTTTTTTCCTTCTTTATCTGGGTCTGTATGCTTTTAAGCAGCCACATTGACAATTTAACATGGCTGCGTGGAAGAGGATCTGCTTCCTCTGTAGATAAAAATGGTTCATTCTAAGATAATGAAAACACAACTATTTTTTTTCAGGTGATTATACACTAATGAAAACATACCTATGGATACTATATTCCATTTCTGCCAATACATCCTCCTAAATGTTACACCATTGATCCATTTCATTTAAAAAATGTTTAACATGACAGAAAGGAGCCTACAAAATGGAAGTGCTGAATTGACTTCTGTCTTCCCACCTGAGCTAACCTCAAAGTGTTATCTTTATTTACTGTCTCCCACAACAGGCACATACTCAAGAAAGCTTTCTCTTGTGCACTCTGGGACTAACTAACTCCTTTTTGGAACTGACCAAGAGTGTCTTTCACTTTTGGGGCTGACTGACAAGCGTGTCATAGACAACCAGAATAACTTCAGACAAAGCTAAAGGAAAACTACAAAAAGATTCTCAGAGTCTTAAAGTGTGTCAACTTGTTCAACTTGTGGCTGCTCACAGTCAACAGACAGCAGAGTTTATTAAAGGGGATTATGGTGGTGGATCAGCAGAGCTATTCGTCTCTGTCTGCCTGCTGCTCTGGCGACAGGCCTTGTTGTCTACTTTGTGCCCTCGCTTTACAAAGTTTGCCTGCCATGAGACGCCATCGGGCACTGGTCCAACCCAAAGCCAGATCAGATTCAACTAGCACCAGCTTCCCTCTGAATCTTCAGTCAACAGATGGGAGACAGATTTTTTTGTATGCTCACCTCTGTAGATGTCTGAAAAAGCTAAGGTATTATTATCCTGAGACATCATAGATTTTTTTTGAGCATCAGAGGGTGAAATATATGTTATGAGTTTCTGTGCTGGAGCTTTTGTGAACATGATGACATGTCTGTGCTGTTTGTCATAATTTTCCGACTGTGAACACTCAGAAATAACTGAATATGAACAGCCCAGACAGTTTGTCTTTTTTCTATTTTGTTATATAAGGCTTTTAAGGCTTAAATGACGTCTGGTAATATTCAAACACTATCCATCCTTTCTTTCATTGGTCCTTCTTAAAACCTGAAAGTTAAATGGACATGTTCTATTGTGCTGGACAGTTAAAATGTGTGTGTCTGTCATTCCAACTTTGATGAAAAGTATAATTTTGTTAGCAGCCAACTACAGCCCCCGTCATTTTATCTTGATTAAAATAATGACCTGCTCAAATGATGCTGTCCAGTGTAGTAGTAGATGGCAGTTTCTCATCCACATGGAAAAAACACCACAAATGTGTTTACCATGCTTTACTTAGGCACAATGGTGCTTTGAGCTAAATGCTAATGTCATTATGTTAACATGCTCACAATGGCATTTGTACATGCTGATTTTTATCAGGTAATATTTACCATGTGCACCTTATTTGTTTAGAGCATGTTTGTTTGGTAAGATTTAAATTTAGTCTGAATGATGGCGCTAAATGGAAATGGGATCACTAGTTATTAGAGGAAGACGTGAAGTTGTAAAACAAATTTAATGGCAATCCATCCAATAGTTGTAGAAATTGCACTCAAAATCACAAATGCCAGCCTTATGTTTGGGCTAGTATTCCTGTGATCACTCAAGTCAGTAGGATTCATCCACTGGGGACCATGAATAAACATTAAAATCCATCAAATAGTTGAGATATTTCTTAAAATCATCCCTCTGAGAAAACATATGTTGGAAATTGAAAGCTTGTGTAATATATGGTATCCCATTAGTAGGGTGAGACTGCATAATCTGTGCATTATTTGGGTAGCTTCCTGTTGTGTTTTGCAGTTCAGTTAAATAGACTCTTAGTTTATCGTACCAGGGTTCTCTGACTTCCAATGGTGCACTCTTA